ATTAATGAGCTGACAATGCAGTACTCTCACTCTGCTCTCCTCTTCTGCTCCATGAGAAACAAAAGTGAGGGTGTATATGGTCTGAGTTTAATGTTGGGAAGTGTCTGAATAAGGGGTGTGTATGTGTATTGGCTCTTATTTAAAATGCCAGACAGCGACAATGGCCTTGAACTTGAACCCCCTCAGGTCCCCTTGACCTCAGGCCTATCCCTCATGCTCCTCCCTGTCGCCCCGAAACTTCCATTGTTCGGCTGTCGGCATTAACTCTTCACACCCTCTGCATGGTCTTCTCTCTTAGCAGCGGGGCCTTCGTCATTCATGCTGGCTTGGTGGGCCTGGGCGACCCCGTCTACGTGCGAATGCCCCATGGGATGGTTTGTTTTCCCATAATCCAAATGCACAGAGTGAATTCCTTTCCCACACCCTCCATCGTAGGTTTCCTGCTCTTTTGTTTTACCAGATTGACTTTAGTCGCTGTACACTGATGGAGGAATTTGCAAGCCATGCAGACAGTGACTCAGACACTTCTCATGGCTGGAGAGCAACTGTCAGAAAAGCAATCATTATGTGATTCATAAGACTATAATAGGGATGAATGATGAATGGAATGATAAATATCAAAAACATTACCTTTATTCTTAATCATAATTTTTATCAAATGGCTGTGTATCTATTGTGGTATGTGTGTCTTTTTACAAATTTGTTAACCATAGTTGTTCATAGAAAACAGCAAGAATTTCAGTTTCACTGAGTATTAGAAATGAATATCATCGGAGGAGGTAAATTTATTAACTCACTGCTAAGCCGTACTGCTGTGCCGTCTTTCATACTGAGAAAAAAAAAATAAACATCTCGTCATTGTCTTGAATGTGAATCTGTTTCACAGTCTGATATTCAGAATAGCCAGCAGTGTCATGTGCTCCAATGTAACCAGGATCAGGTTGCATGTTAAGTATTTGACTTCACTGAACTACTATTTGATATTTTCAGTGTAATGTTTTTTTGTTTTGTTTTGGAGTTACCATAGAAGAACCACTTTTGGTTCCATAAAGAACCTTTCAATGGATGATTCTTTAAAGAATCATTTTTGTAAATGATATATGTGCTTAAAGAACCTTTTCGAAGTTTGAAGGATTTCTTAAGAAGATCTTACACCAATAAATGTTTTTTCCTCTTGGATGCTGCAGATTGCGCTCATGTTTGCCTCCAGTTCACTTGTGTTCGGCTAAGTCTTCAAACAAAGCTTGCTATTGAACCTGGCCCCAAAGTAAGCAAATTATTGCACTAAACAGTCACTGTAGATGTACTCAGTCAATTGATGCTGTAGGAATGAAATGTGGTGGAGTTGATTGATTGATTGAATTAGGCACTTAGTGGAGAGAAGTGTACACAATGAAGTGAAAGAAAGTGTGGTGGGAGAGGGCTAGGCCAGCAGAGTGATGGATGATGGCTGTCTTTAGAAGGGGCTTCTGTCTGGAAATGTTTCTCAGGTCCCCTGGCTGCTGACGGCCGGCCGGGCAAACGTAATGGCACTTCATGTAATGGAATCAACCACTCGACTAACAAATACAAGCACACGCATCCGTACACTAACCTCTCTCTCTCTCGCCTGCTCTTGCTCTCATTTACACGCACTTGTTCATTCATCAAGTCATTCATTTGCTTCTTTTGCAAACAAAAAAAAAATTGTCATTAGGGTGCTTGAGACCCATGGGTTGCACATGTTGAATTTATGTTCATAACTCACGCTGTTGTCCATTGTTTTTTTAGCAGGATATTAATGTTTCTACATTGAAAGAAGCTGTTTGATGTATCTCCACAGTAAAACACAGTTTTTCCCCCTTTAAAAATTAAAATAATGTAACCTCTTTCTTAAGGCCCCCTAGGGGCTATTCTGGAATAGATATGGAAATCGACTTGGATATTTTAAATTAATATAATCAAATAAAATATTTTTGCCTCGTAAGTCTGTTATCAGATTAACTAGAACATTGTTGGCTCTCTGTGTGTCAGACTGTGTTGAGCTGCTAATGAGCAATAGTGGGTGAAATGGGGGGTGAGAACTCCTTGCTGTGACAACAATTCATACCTCTCCACTAAGACGGCCATGTGTGTTTTCCATTCAGCCATTAGCTTATACAACAATGTACTCAGAATTCTGGATAATGGCCATTTAGGGACATGAATCCACTCCAGCCTGGCTTTCTGTTAATGCGGTATTACAAGTGTGTGAAATGTTTTATCCTGGCCTAAACCTGACTAGTTTCATCAGCCATTTCCCTCACTGCTCCTTCGGTTCGCCATTTTGACGGGCACCGACAATGCCTTTCTCCCACCAACAGCAGGTGATAACCACTGCATTAACAATCAAGGGACTTATTCAGTAATTAAAAGAGCAAATCAACTGTTCACTCTTGGCACAGGCCACCGCTCAGCCCATGGATGCTCTTTCGGTGTCCTGGCAACTGGTAAACAAGAGGATAGAGAGAGAGCTTCCCTCCACAGTTCACATAATGGACTCCTGAACGCTGGCGCTTTAGCATGCTAATCATGCTGCAAGGGAGGCGAGTGCAGCGCTCAGACGAGCAACCACCTCAACAAACACACTCCAGCAGGACTAAGATTCTGTTATCAAGAGATAACCAACATCTATCAACACATTTACATTTTACATATGTGAACTTGGCCAGCACACAAACATTCCTCTGAAAAAACAAAATACTCACGATACGCAGAATAATATGCATTTGACTTAGGTTTGAGTGAATTTTAAGAAGCACATCATTAAACTGAAGTACAGAACTGCAGATTGAGAAGTACTAAAAGGCAGATTACAGTTTGAATGACACACTATATCACTTTCTAAATAATGCAGCTTATAAGATATACTCTGATTTCTATTTGTATTTTTATTTTACAAAAAATATAGCATCCTCAGCAAATAGCTAAAAAAGGGTTCTGTGGAGTGATGCCACAGAACAATCTTAAAATGTTGGGGCATACAGTAAAAGGGTGTGGACATCTGCATCAAGTCAAAGTGCTTCATCAGCTGACACTGATTTGTAAAAGAAGGAAAACACTATTAGAAACAGGATAGAAATACTGTCCCATTGCCGACGAATGAGATTCGCTGAATCTCAAATGCAGTGTATTACTGTACTGTAACGTGTATTATAACTTATACCATCTTACCATATCTTATTCATGGATTATGGTACACAGTACTGATCCATGACATGCTTCTTTAGCATGCAACATTTGTTGTTTTAAATACAAATAGTACCACATTTGGTTCCCCAAAGAACCAATTTCAGTGGACAGTTCTTTAAAGAATCATTTACGTAAATGAGATTTGCAAGTATGAAGAACCCTTTTAAAGTTTAACCCCTTAAGTTCTCACACAAATTACACCCTAAGGCTTATTTTTCAGTAATTACATGGATCACAATGCAAACCAAATCATGAAGGAATATTTTAAATCAGCTTTTGATACTGTACTTTAAAATATACCTTTATTTTATCTTAAAAAATAAAATTTATCAAAGAAAGTGAAGAATTTAATAAGTTATGCACTTTCAGAAAAAAAAGGTATGAAACTGTCATTGCGGCAGTACCCCTCTTGTCACCGGGGTGGTACCCTCAAGAGTCCATCTCAGTACCTTTAGTCAGGGAACATAATTGTATTATAGTCTAATGAAATTATATATTTCCAAGTTGTATTGACTCCACACACCCCGTCTCATCTGCAGGCTTTTTATTTTATTGTTCTGTTTTAAAACATTAGGTTATGAAAATACGTACTTTTCCACTGGGAAAAACTTATTTAAGGTCAAAAAACACTGTTGTACCTTTGAGGATACATTGTTTGTACCTTGATGAACGAAAAATGTACCTGCACAGTACCTTTATTTCTAACAGTGTAGTATAAAAAACTGTTCTCGTCAGGTGGGAGGGGTAGGTTTAGGGTAACATTCTGGTAGGCCAAATCAAATGCCCAACTTTGGCCTGTGGACCACCCTTTGTAACATTCTACACCAGTTGTATGTCCAAAAGTACAAGTTAAGCACATTCGTTTGGAGGAGTGTGTACTGTATACTTGAAGAAGAAAAAAATCACAAAAGAACTGATTGTAAAAGAACTTATTGGCTCTTGCCCTATAGATGACCCAGCTCTGAGTGAAGCATGCAGCAGGGCAGCCGGGTTTAATTCTGCTCTGTGCCTTAGGTTGCCTCGTGATACTGCCTCACCCAAATGTGTTTAATATCAGCTTCATTACACTGTACAGTACATGCATGCACCCTCTCTCCTGGCACCCTGACAGCTTAGCTATTAGATTATGGGTTTCTCAGAGCAGCCAAGAAACACAGGCGGAGGGGAGATGTCACCATCCATGCCACTTTATGGACTCAACCCAGCTGGAGTTCTTCTGGGCCAATTGTACATAGAATAATTGGATTAAATACAACTTTACATTGCACGGCTCATTGTAAACAAAGGGTTATAGAGTCTGTGTATTGCAGTGTTGAGCTTCTGGAGCTCCATTAGAGAAAGGATGTGTTGAAAGTGAGGGGCACAAGCATAATTCAGCAGAGACGACGACTTGCCGTTGGCTGCCGAGGGCAGTGTAACATTTGCTGTGCATATTAATTTAGCCAGCTAGTTGTTTTATTGAGGGTGTCTTGGCTGTAAACACCCATGACAACGCTTGTAAAACCACTCACTGATATAAGAGGAATCAGTCTATAGGTATTTACGTTGTGTACATCTTGCAGGCTTGTAGATGCTGATGTTTAGCATATTCAGCAAATGTGAAAAATGTAAAGTGCATCAAAATGATAATAAATCATTTTCATATTTGTGAAATAATCTTATTATATATGTTGTAAATGTCATTCTTTAAGATTGGGTAAATAACACCATACAGTGTATAATGAATATTTCTTTGTTTGAAACTAATGTCTCACATTATTTGTTTTTAAAAAAATCACAGTTTTTCTTTGTTTTCAATGTAAACCTTTTATTAGTATCCATAACAGGACAAAATAGTTTAAGGCACAAACGGTAGCCTGTGGGAGCAAGTTAATCACATCAGTCTTAATGAACAGAAATATAGCCTACTTTTCACACCAGCAAGAGGACAGAAACATATTTGCATAGATAATTTTTTCACACATATTTTTCAACATAGTGCAAACAGTCAAAAATAAACTCTTAAAAACTGCATACATTATCCAGATTTACATAAATTGCATAGTAAATACTCTTCATTCATTGTACTGATAGTTCTATTTCTACATTTATATTAAAATTATTAGTCACCTGCATTAGTTATACAAGCTTAACTGAAATGCTGATTGCCTTCAAAACAATTTTAAGGACATCAATGTCCATGACAACAAAAGTGGGTCTCAAAAACAGATTGCACAACTCTCACAATTCCTAATAAAATGCTAAAAAATTTGCAGACAATTAATATATATATATTTGCCTCTGCCCAAGCTTGTTAATGAAACAAAGCTCTCAAAAACTACTAAACAGTGTTTAAATGATAAAAAAGAGAAGAAATGAATGGATACAAAGAAATAAAGTGTTAGTCTCAACCAAAAAGCAAAACTAAAAAAGAAAACAAAGTTAGTGTTCACTGATTAGTCATTTGCTAAGCATGTTAAATTCTAATAATAAAGATGTATCTCTCATAGTGCAAGTGATTTTCATTCTGATGATTGTTCAACTTAGTTAATTAAATAAAAAAATAATAAAATAATAATAAAAATAAAAATAATAATAATAATGAAATCCACTCTGTAACTCCATTTTATCCATGTAAAGATATTTCCTCTGTCTAATATTAATGCTGTATCATTATATTTGCCTACAATATGGTTGTGTCATTTGAATAGTGGAGATTCTAGCTGTTTAGCACCGATCCTACACTGCTGCTTGTTGATTGCAAGTCTGACGCAATTGCATAGAGAATAAAGACAACAGCTCTCTCTACACCAAATGTGTAACTGTCAACACACAGAGCTGTTCAATCACAGTGCAGTACCCTTCACTGCTGCCGGCCGTGGGTCTCACATTCATACACTCAATTCGCGAGCTCTAAATCATCCGTAGAGCAGACTATGGTGTGTGGAAATTATTGTTTAGCCATCCACTTTAAATATGACTTCATGATCAGCTATAACAGAGGGATACAATGATGTTATGCCCAGAGCATAGTGGTGTCATTTCTATCATAGTGCTTTGCATGTAACATCAAACAAAACAAAAGAGAAAGGAAAAGAGAGAAAACGCTTATATGAATGTGTAAAGTGCTCTATGCTAAAGATTGAATTTGCTCATAAGAGTCTGTATAGGAAGATTAGACTGGCTGATTGTCTTGACCTGGGTTAAATACATTTTAAAAGATCTTTCTTTTTATCTGAAACACACTTGAGTGTTTGACCTATAAAGTTCTCTCTAAAAATAATGTGAGATGAATTCACATTAGAATCCTAGACAGTTATACATTATGGTGACTTTCTCATTTAATCCCCAGAGGATCTACTGGTACTAAGATCCAACTACATGTAGTATTATATTTGATTTTCATTCCAACCCAGGTCCATAAATTTCCAGTGCATCTAAAAAACAAAATGCTATGATTGGAAGTGCAAATGCTGGTAGATTAACTGTTTACACTGGTTCACCGGAGTGAACTAGTCATTCCTTTTTTTCCTGTATTTTACTGATCAATATTTGTCCTGTACTGCAGATGGAGTATGCATAGCTAACGTTAGAATGTTGGATCATAAAGACTTTTACAAAAATGAAAAAAAAGAAAATTAATGCTAAAATATTGATTGGGCACAAGAATAACAAAAAGTATCCTTTTAAAGTGCTGTAATGTCAAAATGTTGGGGCACACAGTAAAAGGGTGCAGTCGAAGTCCAGTCGAAGTGCTTCATCAGCAGATACTGATTTGTCATCCATGTTTGCATATCATTCATTCACATCTTCTATGTTATTCCACCAACACCTGAAACAAAAGAGAGGGAGGAAAACATTAGAAGTAGAACAGAAATACTGCCTTGATGCAAAAGAATGCTGAAGATACCAGTATGGCTTCACTCATTGATCAGCTAAAGTCTCCTGTCCTGAAACACTTAAATGTCACTGCTTCTTTAATCCTAGCACTAAAGCTCTTTGAATTTGAATTGTCCTTGTGAAATACGCTACATAAATAAACTTGCTTTACTTAGCCTAGCCTAGCTCTTTTGCATAGCATTTGTAGTTGACTGAATTGTTTAAATACTTTTAGTTCAGTATGTCTTGAATGCACAGCCTTATGTACTTGTAGCTCATGCACAGTAGGGTATGCCAGGTGGAGGATTGAGGGCGAAGTTGAAGGCATCTCGGCGCTTGGTACGTCCCGAGGCTAAAGCAAAGAGGAAGCATGTGACTGCTTCTAAGCTTGAGGTGCTGAGGCAAACTACACAGAGAAAGCCCAGTCTCTTCTGCACAGGCAAGCAACTTAAAATATTAAGGTCAAGGGGGACACAGGCAAGCAGCCAAGCCTGGTCCAAATGACCAGTGTCGTTGTTGCTAAAGTTAGAAGCACCTCTGCTTCTAGTTCACTCAACCTCTGGTGGTCCTGTAAAGTGTCCAAAAGACCGGACTGACAGCATTAAGGTACTGCTTAGAACCAGCACATCTTTATCCTTCAGGCATTTCTGAATAAACTAGTATAACTATTGTAATTCTTTACTCAGAAAAGTTGGATATGCTCTGCCGCAGGGAACAATGTGTTTAGTCTTTTCACTGGTGTCTCAATTATATTCTGATACCCAGGACAAATGAACTAAGTTAGAACTGAGTTGTTCTGCTCCAACAGGGAGGCTACCTCACACTAGGACTCTGAGATTTAGCAAATGCAGGTCATTGGGGCACCTAGAAATTCTACACTAATACTATCACATTTATTGCGGCATCTCCATGTTAAGGGTTAGGAGTCGTTAGAACAAGTTGCCCTTTTACACTTATCTGTGATTAGGTTTGTGCTTTCTTAGAATAGCTGAAGGGGAAACTGTTCCTAGATCAGCATTAAAAGTGGTTTCTGAGAGTGCAACTGCAGGTGATGGAAAATGGAGGGAAAAAGAAAGTCTGTGTGAATCATGGGGTGAGAGGAAGTACAGCTGAGTGTTGAGAATGAGAGTGAGGGTATGCCATGGCGACCGTAGGAAATAGACGACACACTGTTGTCATTGTAGGCCGAGCTGAATGAGGTGAATTTACACCCGCAGCACGCGCCCCGTTAAATCTGGGCAGCAGGACTGGAAGAGAGAGTGGAGGGGGCAGAAGAAGGGGACCGGGGTGCTCCACAGAAAGAGGGTCTGTTTAGATTCTGGGTATGTTGGTGGGCACAGCCGTCTCTGAGCCAAATGCGGCACACAGAATCCTCACTTTTATTTATGCACCCCTTCTTTTCAGTTGCCCCGTCTTTCTTTCTTGCTTTCTTTCTTTCTTTCTCTCTTGATTTCCCTGTCTCCCTCCGCTTGTCCTCGCTGAATGAATAGTCATGGCAGTGCTACTGTGTAACTGCTCCCCTCCCTCCCTGCCTCAGGTCTGAATAGGAGGGCTGAATTGAGCAAACAGTCGGCCTGTCAGCTCAATAGGCGGTCTGGCCGTGAACTTCAAGTCCTTCCCAGGCCCCCGGCATCATTGGCAGGAGGGGGACGAGGGGGGAGGCGAGGCGGGGAGGTGGGGGGGGGCGGTAGCCCAGACAGCCTCAGACTTTGGGGGGCCCCTGGTGCCCATTTTTTTTTTTGGGGAGCCCTCACCATGGTGGTTCCCAAGGCTGGTGCCTGCATGGAGAGCAAGAGACCAGCTGCTTGGTTGTCCCAAAAGGAGGGGTTTGTGTGTCTGTGTGTGCAAGTGAGTGTGCAGACATGACACCTTCTGCCCCCCTTGTCCATGCCCCAGTCGCCTCCCAGCTATGCACACTCTACCACACGCTCCCAGACGCAAGCTGCCGCTGTGCCCTCACTCCTCATCATCTCCTCACTAAAGCGAGCCTCTGAGGCGCTGCTGTTTGCATTGTTTTTGCTGTGCATAATTTCCTCAGTCCCCACTAAGCCAGACTCATCCTCACATTACCACCTGTTTACTGACACACATCCTGATTACAAACTAAAGCCTCCGCTCCATAGACTCCCAGCCTTTAAGTTTTAGAAACACTGATGATTTTAGCCTCAGCCAAACTCCATTTCTTGATTCCAATGAGACAAGATTTTAACATTGGAATTATCCTTATGCACAAAAACTTATACAATTTGGCATGAATTCCAGTTGCCGATTTATTCCATAAATATGCTCTTAAACATAAACAACCAAACATCTTTGGAGTGATGCCATAGAAGACTACTTTTGTTTCCTGAAAGAACCATTAAACGTATGGTTCTTAAAAGAATCTTTCATGCAAATGAGATGAACGAGTGTGAGGAAAGTTTAAAGAACCTCCACACTAGGTAAATATTCTATGGCTTTTTCCTCCATCTGTACATTGAAGCCAAGAACCATTTAGTAACCTCTATTTATAAGACACTATGAAAATCCTCTAATGATGCTTTAGACAACCATCCACAGCAGGATCTCCAAATTCTTCACAGATCTTATGCAAACCTAATGGTGGTACAGGTTTCTTTAGCAGTGAGTTTTAGTTGGCTGTCCTGTACTCTCTTGCTTGCTCTCAAGCTGAGCATGTCTCCTCTTCACTGCACTGGGAGCATTGCCACTTACCCGGCACTATATCAGCTGGGCTGTGGCATTGTCTAGACCTCCAGTGAGGAGACCCAAACAAAGGCCACTGTGTGGGACAATGGATAGCATTGTTTACCCCCTCTCCTTTAGTTAATCGGGCCCAGCCGGCTCTAATTGGTGTTTTGGTTAAGCAGGTTTTAAACTTATAGCTCCCTGGCCTCAATAACGGAGAGCCACAACAAGTTCGCCAGAAAGAACAATACTTGACTTGTCTGGGCAGCGACTCCCTAAAAACTAAGAAGTGAAGAGGGCCTGCTAATGTTGAACCTGCTAATGTAAACCTCCTCCATTACACTCTCCTTCACTATTACTCATGCCTCCTCTGCACCACTTCTAAATATAGGTTGAGAAAAATGTTGTAAAGTGTGAATTACATGTAGTCATGTAATTTTCTTATTTCTAAAATCTCTGCAGTGGCATCAACAGCAGTGTGAGAATTTAGAATTCTTCACAATAGCTGTGATCTATTCATCAGTTTTGCATCTCTGAGCACAGCAAGGATCTTCAGTGCAGCGCCTGAAGATGTGAGAAAAAGCCTTCCTATTTTTCTTCAAAATGGCAGCGCGCCATCTCAGTGCCTGGCATGGCGGCGAGGCGGGCAACAGAATCCCTGATGGCGTTCTATTCAGTTCTTGTGCCCGCAGATGCCCGCCTTGACTCCCCCCTATTGTGACGGAGAATGATTTAATGCAAGCAAGTACAAAACGCCTCCCCGCCCACTTTAGCACCAGCGACGTGTGATTTTCACAATTAACAAACACATCTGCTGTAATTAAAAAAAAAGTGCAGAAAGGGAGAGGGGGCTCGCAGTGTGTGTGTGTATGTGTGTGTGTGTGTGTGTGTGTGTGTGTGAGGGGGAGGGTATGAGATGGAGGAGAGTGATGGCGGGTCATACCTGCTCGTTCCTCCTCCCTCTTCCATTTCATGCCAGCGTGCTCTAAGATGGTGGCGAAGCATGGGCTGCCGCTCGTGATAGGAGGAAGGGGCAGGCAGGGAGAGGAGGGGTGGAGAGCAGAGAGAAGAGACGCATCATTGGGGCGCATGGAGGGTGAGCAGCTTCAACACCAACACACCCCTCCTCCTTTACATCCTCCACGTCTTCCTTCCCTTTCTCTAGCTTCTTTCAGAGAGACAGAGGGATTGGTGGTCTGTGAGGAAAAAAAGAGTGAAAATGGAGAGAAAGAGTGAGAAAACATAAACATGAGTTTGCTGTGCTGCCAGCATGTGAGAGGGGTACGCATCAGGCATGCGCGCACACACACACACACACACACACATGCGCACACACCTTTTCATGTCTGTTCACATGGTACAGTCTGCCCCTGAGCATGCAAATGACTTTCATTATGCAAATGCATGCAAATCAGACCCAACCATCTGAGAATCAAGGCTGGGAAAAATCTACACCGAGAGATTGAATGAAAAAGAAAGGGAGCAAGGGATAAATCCTTTCGGATGGCAAGAGACTGTTAACGGAGGTAAACGTTGTGCGACGGAACAACGGTGGCCCGGGGTGAACAAAAATGGCTTCCACTGAATATGTGAGATTGTAACATTGCTCAGTCTTCTCTCTGCTTCCTTTCTTTTAGTATACTGGCTTTTAAACCAACACTCAATCATGTATTCATGACAGTACATGAAAAGCTTTGCTGACAGATGTAGTGGGATTTTACTGAGTTATAGAGTTTAAAATAGCCACCACGGCAGCAGCCACGTTCTCTTCCAAATGACCTTGTTGTTCTTTGTCATTATGAACATGTCTAGCACATGTGCCTGGCTGTAAAATGCAGTATATTCCTCAGTGCCAGCAACACTAGGCGTTTATGACGTATCAACATTGGCTGTAACCAGAGGTTACCACAAAGCTGGCTTTATGTTCATTCTTCTATAGAACATTTTTGAACCAGTGTTCAGACCCAGTCATATAATCCAACGCATATGACCTGAGGCATGTCTACATATGCAGAAAAACAAGCAAGAACAATGGATAAACTCTCTTGGTCAATTTACAGGCCTGGGTTCTTATTGTTTCATTGACTTGCATCTATACAGTGGTACACTGCAGCAGTATGGAGCTCCAGGCAGCATGTTGAGAGGTGGTCTTTGTTTTAAGGTGGCACTGCTCAGAGGCTCGGGGCAGACTGAGTGTGAGGAGGATGGAGTGTGAGAGAGTTGGATGGGAGAAAGTAAAGAGTAGAATTAGAGGGGTGGGGTCCAGCTGAATGGCAGCAAACCTTCTCTAATTGGCACTTGACATTTTTTTGCAGCAGCCCTCTAAAGTGGGCCCACTCTTAAGCCCTCTCCAGGCCCTTGTTAGAAAAGTGCCTTATGCAAATAGAGCGAATAGGGACCATTGTAAAGTCTCTGACATTAACAGCTGAGGTAACAATGGAACTGTGTGCTTTCAGAGGACCTGTAGGTGTGTTGAAGAGAGAGCAGGACAATTGGCCAATATGTGAACAGCCATCCAAGTGACGTCCAGAGAAAAAAAAAAAAAAGCATTTCAGCAGACTGAGCGCTGGTTTAGCAAGTTGAGCTTTTGACAAAATGCCCTCTTAAGGTGCACACAAGCATGTTGAAGTGAGGTTCTCCCACATCCAACAATTTCTTTACTATATATCTTTGTATTTGCAGAGGATACTCTTCAGGCAGTGGTAGCAGTGCAGTGTCTGAGTAATTAAAGTGACATTCTTAATGCAAACAAAAGCATGTGTTCTATCAGGTCATATCTACAAAGTGTACATTGGAATTACAATGGATGTGTGGTATAAAGTTAATGTTAAGTCAGCAGCTATTTTATTTATTATCATTCAACAGTAAGGCTATTCTAAAAGGCTAATGGTCCTCCATTGAGTATCAAGTTTGGCACCACATTCCCATGTCAAATGATCAAACACATTGCACTTTTAGCCCCTCGGTGTGCTTTTGACCATTCGTAATGGCATTAAAGAAGAAAATCTAAGAAAACCCACTTTTACATTCTTTTTTTCCATATCTGGTCTCTGTGCAGATAGGAGAATTGCACATCGCTTCTCGTGTGGTCCGTATGATGTTGACCTTCACCTGTTAATGCAGCTCCCAAAACCTAATCTCTATTGTGTGTGGGCCCATTGACTTCGCCAACAGCCTAAAAGTACATTCACATTTCTTTGGGCGCGACAGTAGGGCGGGGGCTAGCGGGGGACTAAAGAGAAGAGCATTTAGTCCTCGGTTTCCTATCCCACAGTGCTGCCATTTTGGGGCTCAGTTGGTGTGTTCCGTCGCTCGAAAGAAAAGCAGCGACAGGGGCAAGAATCAGCTAGCTCAGCTCCAACAACAGCTTGGTAGTTGTGACTGAGCAGTTGTGAAAGGATGGCAAAGGAATCCATTGTCTCTGTGTGACAAGTGAACTAGCTCTATTGACAGTACAGTCGACTGGAGAGGGAAGCTGAGAGAGAAAGGGGAAGGGAGGCAAAGAGGGGAGGCCCACAGTGCTGTTTCTAGTTGACACTTGAAGCTTAAATCGGCTTGTTGAAAGCTTAAAAAAACTCCTGTGTAGCCATGTTGAAAAAGGAAAGGTCCATACCAGCTAGTCCATCAGATCACTTCGCTACACATCATGAGCTGGGCCTATCCACACCAGAGTGCTAACTACCACGAAAAATCAGGAATACGAGATGTTTTAAAAAGTAAAACATGATAGATACAGCATGGCTGGGTATGTAAAGAAAACAGAAAGATGCAAGCAACTATCATATTGCCTCCACTTTGACCAAAGGGCTGTACTAGTACTCACTGAGTCAGCTTTTCATACAAGCCAGGCCAAGCTATGTAGATGGCATATGTTCCTGGCACAGTGATGGCATATGCTGCTCAATGGATGTCAGAATTGCCCTGGCACTCTCACTCTGTTAAACGACGAAGCAGAAAGCGCCAAGCCCTGCTGAGACCACAGAGACAGTACTCCAGGTCTGTTTGCTAATATACAAGTGAGTGAAGGTGTACTAGCAGGACCGTTGTACCCTTGTAATGTACATAGGAGAGGAGTACTCCATTCATCCACTCCATGTAAAAGCCGCCTTGGTGTTTGATGTAGCAGCTGCATTGCAGCAGCCGCCCTGATCATGGCCATTCAGCTGATGCCGCTCCTCGCTACGTGGCCTAGGGCAAAGACTGTTTATGTGAAAGTCACACATGACTGCTTCATTCAAAGGGTAGTTAAACTCTGTCCCTTGCTTTGTAGCCCTGATTTTCTTTGTACAAGTCGCACCTTACAAATTACACTTGCATTAAGCTTGAACTGCTGCGCTGGCTTGCTTTCAGGCAAAAATTACTTTAAAATTTTATACATGCTTTTTATATCTTTGACTTTGAATAAGAATGTCTGCAAAATGAATAAACAGAATATCAATTTTCAGAGACAATTGATACAGTGAAGCCAAAATTTAAGAATTAAGCTGTCTTTCGTTTACCATAAGCTTAGCTAGATGATCTCCAATGTGCTGACGTAGTATAATCTGCTTAAAGGTGAAGTCTTTAGCCAGTAAGCAATGCTTCCTGCACAGAGCTAATGGGACAACTCTGAATGAGATCAAGTGTAAAGGTGTGATGATCTTATTGGCCAAAGGCCTCCAGCTGGCTCAGGCTTAAATGGAGCCTCAAACCATGGGATTGTCCTCCTAATGGCCGCTGTCAGCACTGCAGTTCTGGTTCAATAGCTCTGCCCACTGGCTCACAGTGAGGAACACAGCCGTATTCACCACCATCTCAACAAGCTTCTGCGCTCATATTCATCCCCAGTGTTGGGTTCATTCCAGCCCATTCACAGCATGAACGAGTGTCAACTCCAATCAGCCACCTCTGTATGACAGCCACACAAGATCAACCTCAAACAATTGCTGCCTGTCTCCTTGTGCTGGCCCAAAGTTCAAATTCACCCAACGTGCAGAATTAGCAGGAACATTTGCTCGGGAAAGCCACAGTCCCTTAATTAGTAAAACTGGCAAACTAAATAGCCATAAAGGTTCAGGTTCTAAATGAAAAGGCAAATATCTTACAAACTAGCGATGAGATTTAAGTTAATGAGGTTGAGTTGCAAAGAGTTAGTAATGTAGAATGGAACACATGCTAAAGCTGAAGTGACCTAAACTACCTAGAGCATGGCGCACTGTGATGAGTGGTGTTGGTCCCCGTAGAGGCAGTGAGTGGCCATGTGACCACTGCATTAAGCCCCTGCCCGCACTGCACTATGTTCTGGGATCAGGAGATTACAGATTAAAAATGATCATGTTTGACCAACCAGGCCACAGCACTCAGCTCAGAAAAATCAGAGGGCTACAGACAGGCTTTCCATGCTTATTCCACATTGTACCAGTAAACAACACTTGCAGACTCCCTTGCTATAAAATTTCTCTTATGTTGTGTCTTCAGTGCAATAAAGCAAAAATCATCTCTATCAGATCATTCAACATGGTTTAAAAAAGCATCTTACCGTTTGTCTTCCTTCTAGAGGCTATTTTGTTTCTTGGCTCCTGTCTTAAGTTGAGGAGAGTGAGGGGGCGGGGCGTGGAGTGCTGAGTGGGCAGTGCCTTTCAGGTGTGTAATGGGATTCTTGTTACTTTCGGTTATCTAGCTTTATGAAGAATGTACATCACTCATACAGCTAGATAACCAAAGATAACAGCCAACCCCTCCGGCCAACCATCCTTTTTTTTCCAACCACAGGGGAAGTGACAGGCTCAGATTCAGACCTAAAAATAGAGGAGCCTTTGATTAACTCTGCAATTAGGACTGGCGCTGAGTCCACTGTGTTTTAGATCAGCTTCAACAAAGCATTAATTCAGTGTAATTTAATCACTGTATAATTGGTTATAAAAATCAAATTGTGCTAACATGGTTCAGAGGTACAGAATTACACTGCCATATACTTACAGTAGTAGAGCAGTGGTGGTAGTTTTCACTGATATTTATAAAAGCTGAAACACTGCACCATATTGTCTTAACTAATGTGGCATAATTCTTCAATATAGGCTTGCTTAAATCCTCTCAGGACTGACAAGCTGTGCTCATGACAGGCACCAGAACAGGCTGTCAAAGTCAAATGTGGCTTTATGGCTTTAGATTCGTACAGACCACACTAACTGCTCTCTTCTATCTCACACGACAGACTTCTCTCCCTGGGAGAGAGATGGCTGCAGTTACTCCCTGCAAAGCCTGAGATTTATTTCTAAATGAAAGGAAGACGCTGGCTGGGCTGAAGAAGGGCCAAAGAGAAATGCTGTTTGTTTTAATTTTCCACAAATTCAACACCAAGACTGGGGTGTTTGTTTATCACAGGGCAATCTCTCTCTCTCTCTCTCTCTCTCTCTCTCTCTTCTACATATGCAAATGAAAGAGGAGTTGGTCCAATTAAAAGCCTTTGTGTGAGGAACCCTTCCTTGTTCCTTCTCTGAGGTGGTGTAATCACAGACAGAGAGAGAGAGAGAGAAAGAGAGAGAGAGAGAGTAATCACTCATTACAGCGTTTCATGCCAGCCAAAATGGCAACGCTGGGTCAAGTTCAAACATTTTCATTTACACTATGCTCTATCCATCTCCCATCACCTAATTATTTTGCTAATACCACCAGCAGGCTGTTTACAGTACAAACTGTCCTCACTCTATCTGTTAGCGATTAACCGACTAGCATTCGTGACATTAAACAAGGAATCAAGGATCAACGCAGCAAACAAACATTTTACAAAACAGCCACTTACAAATATGCACGTTAAAGCGCTTAACACAGAACAAACAGTCTCGATAATACATTAATAAGCTCAAACAGTTCTATCAGTACAGTAAATTTCCTCAGTATAGCAACAACAATAACAACAGCAATAACAATAATAATAATAATAAATTATTATTAATAATAATTAATTGATACTAATAAATTAATAATAATAAAATATAAATTATTAATTATTAATTATAATCTAAGTAAAGGTGTATATCGTCTTAGAGCAATAACAATGCCGTTTTTTTGGATAAGGACATTCATTTATTCTTGGATTTTTTATTTTCTTTTTTTATTTAGCTGTATATAGCAGATATTGATCATTTCTTACAATTTTGTCTTCGAGTTTCTTATTATTATTATTGTTGTTTTTGTTGTTATTATTATTATTATTATTATTATTATTGTAGTATTATTTTTTGATCTTTAATCAATTTCAGTGAAGTGGAAACTATAACAAAAAAAGACAGAATAAAACGACGGAAAAAGGGATTCAATTTTAATTCTAAACCGTTTTCTTGGACTGCTCCTGTGATCAGTTCTGTCTTTTTTAATTTAGCATTGAATTTAAGAGCAGATCGGCTGTTACGTGTCCGTGGTCAGGTGGCCTGAATGAAAGTAGGCTCTGGTCAGAGGTGACATTTTAGAAATACGTGGACAAAAGTGGACAGGGGTTCAGTGTTTGCTCGTCTTATCTCTGGAGTCAACCGTGTCCTGGCCGGGTTTGGCACATCACACTGTATGATTTTAAGCCGTGCTGTTATTATTTGCTTTGTTGTGTCGCGCGCAATTTAGAGCTGCTCCGCGCTAATCGATAGATATTATCATCATTGGAGAGATTTACCGGCAGTGAATTTCATCTGGGCAACCTTGACTTAAAACCTGTCCTGATGGACTCGGCAGAATTGTGAAATAATTCTTTATTTTCGCGTTTATTTAAAGAGAGGCCTAAACCTTTCGTTAGAATAATCAGCTATAGGTCTACTGTCTGGTATGTGTGCTCGAGCATTTCTGCCAGCAGACCTGCACGTGCTCATGGGGAGCCAAAATTATGGCATCTTACTGTTCCTTTTTTCTTTTTTGTTTTCTTATTCATTCTCTTTATTTATACAAACAGTAAACTGAAATAGTGAGTGCTGTGTGTGTGTGTGTGTGTGTGTGTGTGTGTGTGTGTGTGTGTGTGTAAATGTATTACCTCGACGCTGGACTCCTGGGCGTCAATGTGCGAACATTCTGGAAAGAGAGAGAGAACAAGAGGAATAAAGGCACACTCCTCCGTATTTAGAGAATATTTTCTGGAGAATATTTAGCACTAAGTACAGAGGCTTGAGCTCCATTCAGAGCTGCTGATCAACTGCGTCTCATGATCTGAGAATGAGGCCCAAACCGTTAGCTAATCTCATCCAATCGGCCTGCAAAGTCTGTCTAGATCCCAACCAATCCGACTCACACCACCTCAGCACGAGCTGAACTCTAAGCTCTGTCAGTAAGGGGTAATGTTTCAGTAAGACTGTCCTTCTCAGCAGGCTGGATCCAGCTTTGCTGGGCCATCAGGTAATAATGGGCATTTTTAATAAAGTCCACTTTCAGCTGATGCTTACTAGAGTTTTCTTAGACAAAAGAACGTGGTGTATTCGATTCCATTCGATTACAAATTACGTCATTTTTGCGGGAAATAATATAAAAGGCTTTGTCTTTCGAGTATTATGACGTCATCTTACAGTACAACACAATGCCCTGTATTATCAATTATGAAGAAAATATTCATAGCATCTGATTTAAACATATAAAGAGTTATAAGCAAACAGGGCCCCCTTTAAAGCTCTGCGGTTTAAAAATGAGTGCAAACTGATCTTTGCATATATATTATATATACACACAGTATATGTATATATTATATATATATATATATATATATATATATATATATATATATATATATATATATTATATATACATATAATGACAATAGCAGCAGGCCAAAGCTCTATATTAGGCCTACACAGTCTTCTTTTTTATGTATATTTATTTGTGTAATATGCATAGATAGATAGATAGATAGATAGATAGATAAACATATTACTCAAATGATAAATAAATGTATGTAAAAAAAAGACTACATATAGGCCTCTTTGGCCTATTGTCTTTCAGTAATCCCCACCTAATTTTCCCTCTACGTGGTGGAAATCTGGTTTCTTTTCTAGCTGAAGTGTCGGTAATTCTACCAACCTACAGTATTCACAGTGAAGGTCTATGATGGAAACGCTGTGTAGGCTACAGAAGCTTTGAGTGAGGCTGCGGGCACGTGGAGAGCGGATATCCGGCCTTGTGCTCTACACTGACCATGGGGATTATGTCCTCACACACACACACACGCACACACGCACACACACACACACACACACACACACACGGCAAAATCACAAATGTTCACCAGGCTAATCCAGACCATTCCAATCTGGATGTGTCCACTATCATAACGGAATTGAGACAAGAAAAGGGGAAAAATGTGAGTGTAAGCACTGATGATAAATTCATTTCAAAGCAAATTTAACAGAAGGACTTGAGTCTATTAAGACTATCGTTAATACAACTACGATACTATGTTATATGTATGTTACTACAACACGATAAAGTCATAAGTTGAATTTTCATACACAGTCATTTCATTAAAATATCAGATGTTGGTCTGATTGTATATGCACATCCCTCTGACCTTTTTTCTCTTCTAGACCGAGTCAGTGCGGGAGCGGAAAAAAAGCTGTTAAAGCTGTTTGTTTTCCTCGTCGGATATCCCAGCACAGCGCACTGATTGACTTTGGCTCAGAGCCAGTAATGAGAACATTATCAGACTGTTAAAAGAGGAGCACGACTCTTACCTAACGAGGAAACCACAGTGTTTCCTCCTGCTGCAGATCTGTTATTCGGGAACGGTCTCTCTCTCTCTCTCTCTCTCTCTCTCTCACACACACACACACACACACACGCACAAACACACTTACACACACACAGACTCACACACACGTAGCCGGTATGATAATAAAAAGGAAACAACGGCCGCATCCCTCGCTATCAGCCTCAGAGATAACAGCGCTACATGCTGCACATCCTACAGAGCTGAGGAGCTCGCGCGCCGCCTGAACCCGTAACAGCTTCCTCGTCACGTCCGAGCCCCGTAAGGCGGCGCGATTTGGCTCCATAAACCCACAGCAAAAGCCCGGCTGTCGTGTTTTCTCAGCTGTAATAAGAAAACGGTCGAACAGCACGCGCTGAAACACACCACAAACATGCACACAGCATACACTCACCGGCTAGTGTGCAGCGCGCGAGCAGCGGCTCCGCTCTCTCAGCAGGTCTCGCGCTCAGCTCTCCCGCGCCGCCGCCGCTGCGCCTTCATGGCTGCGGCTCCGCGTGACGTCGCGGTGTGATTCCCCCCCCCGCCAGCGCCCCCTCCCCACCTTATTCCCCACCGAGGTGCCCCGTAACCCTGTCCGTGAGACCAAAGAGCCCCCCTCACCCTCACCTCTCTCTCTCTCTCTAACCTCTCTTGCTCCAGTGTGCGCGTGTTTCGCTGTTCTGGACTCCTACGCGCCAGTTTAAAAAACATATAGCTCGAGGAAGCCCCGCCCCCTGGTGACACAGCGCGGGTCCCGTCTGAGTCTCCTCCCTCTTCAGCTCCGCACGCACACCGAATCCGATCTGATTTTTTTTCTTTTCTTTTCTTTTTTTTACACTATGAAAAGCATCTGGTGATGTGAGTGTTAATCAGGGCTCTTAGTGTTCACTGTTGATTGTGGCCATGTGACTCATTCAAAATATAAATATATTGTGTATACAAACCATCTATCTATCTATCTATCTATCTATCTATCTATCTATCTATCTTTCTCGTAGACAAAAGTTTTTTCGCCAGTGGTCAAATAACATGTTTTGTTGACACATCCTCTGCAGAGAACACACATGTTCATATTTTAATACTCAATTACTGTTTATTTGCTAAGTTAAACACATTGGAAAAAAGTTGTTAATTAAATGTTGCCTGTGCAAATGTTATGACATAAGTTATATTTTATGTTCTTTCCCAATATGTTACACTCAGCAAATAAATAGCAATTAGCAGTAAATTTGGAAAAATGCCATATTCATACTTGTTGTAGAGGATGTGTTAAATAAAATCAGTCAATCAGTAATTTGACTCGTAGATGTAACTATATATATATATATATATATATATATATATATATATATATGTGTGTGTGTGTATGTATATATGTGTGTGTGTGTATGTGTGTGTGTATGCGTATTACATTTGTAGAACAATCCCAAATCCCATTGTGAACTTGTGACTCATTTCACGGATTTAAAAAAATTAAAAGGAATTACACTTGAGCAAAAACCCAAGTGGACTTGATTACTGCACCGTCTTCAGTCTTTTAAGCCCTCAAAAAACTGAATTTGCTGGGTGACTGAAACCCCAGACGCTGAAACTAACAATTATAAAATTAAATCACATTCACTTCCATTACTATATCCGCTAGCCTGCATTTGGGATTTTTTGTTGTTGTTGTTAAATGTTTCAGACGTTGTGGAAAATGGCAGCGCTCTCACCACCTGATGGCACAGACTGTATGGACTGTTCTGTCTGCTTGTGTGAACATGGCCGTGACAGCTCACAGTGAAGCACAGTGGGAAAAAATGCTGCCGTGATTGCACATAATTTCACGTGTCAGTCATTTTTATGTGATATAATGTGCTTATTTTTCATTATGCACACATTTACCTTCAACGCAGCGTTTCCCTCAGTGCAGGTCTCCGCTGTAAACGTACTGCTAATACTTTGACTTTCAGACTTCTTGGTAGCTGTAAGCCGAGGCCTAAATGGAGTCTCTTCTTTTGTCTTTGGCTCTTTCTGTGAGGAGTCTAGGAATGTGAGCGGCGGACTGGTCGGGCTGAGAGCGTGCAAATCAGCTTTAACTGTCAGCACGGAGGGGAGAGTCCAGACAAGAGCGCACAGAAAGGGGCTCAGGGTTGCTCGATTATCATAATAATCAGATCGTGGGGATAAAAATCTCTTTTGAATAAATTACTGCTTCAATAGGAGGCGAGACTGCCAAGCAGACAACTTTGTCAGAGGCCGCTGTTGTGTTGTGTTGTGTCTCTCTGTCTCTCTCATGCGGGGCTCATGTGTGTTTATGCTGAGAGGAGTCTGACCTGTCCTGCAGCCTGATCTCCTGTCTACAGCACACACCAGCACTCAGGACCCAAAAAAATCATCATCGGCCCTCGGCTGGACCAGTGTGTGTGTGTGTGTGTGTGTGTGTGAAGCACAGGCAGTGAAGCGCCGAGTGCAGAGATGGCACAGCTCGCACACTCAGCAGACCAACCGCAGCTTCCACCCACCATACACTAACAGCCTAACAGCGGCCTCTGCGCTTTTAATGAGCCTACATCACCCACATTTCCCCTGGAGATTCCTCAACAGGTTTTACTCACCATCGAACATGAACTGAAGTCATCAGAAAACAAACAAAAAAGACCCATTAATGAGAGTTAAATAGCCCTACTAGCTACTGTGATTTATACAATAATAAAATTATCATTAATTTATTATTATTATTATTATTATTATTATTATTATCGTCTAATTTCGTCTAAAGTATCAGTATTAGTATCACTATCAGTAGTAATATTATAATTAGTGTTAGTATTACTAGCATTACTAAACACCTAGGCAGTAAAAGATCCCCCTTCTCCGTGATAAGGCTGCATTGCTCGTGTATGCTTTACACATATTTCGATTCGGTTTTACTGATCGTTTAATTCAATTCAACTCAAGTCAAATGCATTTGAATGGCACTTTTTATTGTCACAAAGCAGCTTTACAGAAATCCGGTTCCAAGCCTCAAGTCAGTAAGCCAAGAGTGACAGTTACAAGAAAAACTCCCTAAGAGCCACAGGAAGAAACCTCGAGAGGAACCAAGACTCAGAAGGGGAACCCGTCCTCCTCTGGTCCACAGCGGTCAGCACAACAGCAACACAACACGTGCAATATAAAAGATGAAGAATCGACAATTAATACACAACAGTGAAAGTCAAGAAAGGAGTCTCTCGCTGCACAGAAGTGTTTAGGGTCACTAGCGATAACGGATAACAGAAGTATTTAAATTAACCAATGATAACCGATGGCTGCTGTTAGAAGTCCTGAGACGCGTTAGTGTGAACAGGTAAAGAGGTCAGTACAGTGTGAGGCAGGTGAACAGTGTTAGGGTGGTTTACAGGCTGTAGCCTCTGTATTTCGCTGTTTCTTAATTAGTAAGCGAACTGCTTCGAACTATGTCTGAAAGATATTGCTAACATCCAATTTAATTACATTTTCTGAATTTATCATGGTCTCGCGGTATCAGGTGATATTTAAGCAAAAAGTTAACAAGGTAGAATTCTGTGCTTACATAAGGTCTTACAAATCTGACACCTGGCTGAGGATAAAAACGCCTTCCACAGGTAGAGATGTGCACTAAGTGCACTTCTTTTTGGCAGAGATTGTTGATGTAACACTTACACATAGGTTTTATTCATATGCGACCACGTCACACGTTTGAAGTGCGCAAATCCTTTAAAGCAGCCGTTTCCACCAGTAAAGTGTGCTAATGTGGCTGAGGCTCTCAATGCGATTACATGCAGGGGAACTCATGACAGGGATTGGCTTGGCCTGATCTATTCACATTTTAGCCTCTTATGGCCAACGTGAGGGCGGCGTGCAGCACAGCAGTGGAAGAGCTGTCATTCCTTACTGTTAGCAAGCAGGTCAGACTGCACGAAGTCAGAGGCACATTTCCTCCCTGCTGAAAAAAAAAAAAACATAGAAACCATTAAGTGTTTCTGTTGGTTCCTGATGGTTTTGTAATGCGTTTTGGCTTTTTCAGTTGCTTGATATCACAATGTAAAGGATCCTAATTGTTTAACAGGTGACCAATGACTGATTCAAAATGCATTTGATGATTTTCTAATGGGATCTAAAGGAAACTAGTGGTCTCTATTGGAAACAATGAAACCAATTCCTATTAGAAAGCAAAGTATTTTTAACCATTTTCTTTCTCTCCTTCTTTCTTTCTTTCTTTCTTTCTTTCTTTCTTTCTCTGGCGTGCGTATCGCACTACTCTTAAAATATTTAGCACTAAGTTAATCAGACTTTGTGTGATTTCTTAGACCGAGAAAAAGTGTCACTGCACAGTGGTGAAGTGATGACGTCCAGCGAGTTGAAGTCCAGCAATAATATCAATTTTTAAGGGCCAGTAATCAGATTGCAGCGCAGTGTCATCTGTGCGTTTTTCTCCACTCCAGTGCATTACAGTACAGTGAATCTGCAGTGCTAAATAAACTTATATCGCGCTTCATTTGTGTTCAACTGGACTTAAACGAACGATGTAGGTGATAATTCCACGCTGCAGGTGTTAATTCAGCAGCGGGGATGTTTTTGGATAGAGAGAAGAGAAACTAAGAGAACGATGCAGCAGCGTGTGAATGTACTCTTTTATTTGTGTAGAAAAAAATAGACTTTAATTCTGAACTGTATATTGTGTACATACGTGTATATATGTGTGTAGCGCTCTCTCGCTTCGTGTCATGGTGTTCTCCCTGTCCTTAATAAAGTGGGACCCTTGTTTTGTCCACCAGCTTTGGAGACGTGATCAGCAGCTCAAACTTCAGCTTTTGTCCTCCGAAATCTGACCATATTGTCGGGACTCTGTGGGAGCGAGCTAAGTGCAAACCTCCTCAATCGCACCACATAGCAACCTGGAACAAGTGGCGAGGACATTTCCTTCAGTTCTGTCTATACTCCGTTTCCTTTAGTACTGTCTGTACTTCATATCGGTTCAGTACTGTCTGTACTTCATTTCAATTCAGTACTGTCTTTACTTCATATCCATTCAGTATTGTCTATACTCTATATCCATTCAGTACTGTCTATACTCCATGTTCATTCAGTACTGTCTATACTTCATATCTATTCAGTACTGTCTATATTTCCTATCCATTGAGTACTGTGTATACAGTATAAAAGACACACATATATACAGTATACACACACACACACACACACACACACACACACACACACACACATATATAATATATATATATATATATATATATATATATATATATATATATATATATATATATACTTTTTTTTAATAGCTTAGGAAAGGATATCTTGTATTCCCAATAAATTGTTACTTTACACTCTACTGAGAACACACACTACTAAAACGGACATGGAAACTAAATATACATAAATATCTATATTATATATTATATTATATACAAAAAATGATCAAAAAACAGTTAACAACATTTAGTAACATTCACTTAGCAGCATGAAAGACTGTCTGTGAATAGTGTGGCAGTTTGGCAG